GTCAACTCTTTAACGCATGTTCGGTCTGTTTTTTGTTTTTGTTGTTGTTTTGATTTACAGTGTTGTTCGAGTGAAGAGGCGTCTGTGGTTAAGTTTACGTCTGTGCATGAGCAAACATATTAATCTGGTAAGCTTGAAATAATACTCTTAAATCTGAGGAATGATATATACTTAGAAGTAATCAAAACATATAAAATATAAAGAAAAACATTTTATTTTTTGTCCGGCACTTTACAAGTTAAATTCACAGAGTTAGTCAATTGATAACATTATAATAAATTAAAAACACTTTATAATTGTTTTATTGTTGGTATAGTACATATATAATGTTAAACATGTTGGCGTGTTGTTAGTAGAAGTTTAGATTTTTTGTGTCTTATTAGGTGTCTTTAAATGCTGGTATAGTACAAATATAATGTTAGGCATGTTGGCGTGTTGTTAGTAGAAGTTTTGATTTTTTGTGTCTTATTAGGTGTCTTTAAATGCTGGTATAGTCCAAATATAATATTTGGCATGTTGGTGTGTTGTTAGTAGAAGTTTAGATTTTTTTGTGTCTTATTAGGTGTCTTTAAATGCTGGTATAGTCCAAATATAATATTTGGCATGTTCGCGTGTTGTTAGTAGAAGTTTAGATTTTTTGTGTCTTTAAATATTGATATAACTAGTACTGATATAATTTTTGGTGCATTGAGATGCTGGTAGTAGAAGTTTATATATAATGTTAGGTGTACTTAAACGTTGATATAAGTATTACACGTTTAATGTTGCTAATGTGGGAAATTTTTAGCAGCAGTACAGATATAAATTTAAATGTCTTTATAGATTGTGAAAATGTAGTAACCTATCTATAACATACCTTGGTTTGATATGCTAGTATATAACTGAAAAGTGAGCAGTACGATGTTAAATATGTTTTGTTTAATGTAGGAGCATTGAGATATAATTGTGTTATTAACTTCAAACAGCAGTTTTTAAATAATGCACAAAAGTAGCGACCATCATAGGGTTTTGTCCTTTTTTCAGCGTATAACATTAATATTTTTTTATTGTATGCGGTTTCCTTTCAGTCAAGAGGCTGGTGGGTCAGCAGAGGGTTGTATCCTTTCTTAAGCAGAGGAGGTGTAAATGTGTGGAATCACCATTGGAAATATTCAAAGAGCTGTTACTGGTTTGCGAGGTTTTGTGTAGGAGTATCTTTATGACCAGGATCATCTGATTGCAAGGACATGACATGAAGGTTTAACAAATGTTCTGCTTAAGGTAAGAGTGTTATAGGATGGCAAACAGGAAGAGGTTTTCAAAGATAAAATTACGGGTCTAGAAACAGCAATGAATATATATGTAATTAAAATATCTCTAAGGTGTACCAGGATCCGAAGAAAAAAGATACAGTCATAAAATTAGTGAGCTGGACCAAATATTTGTATGCTAAAAGCTATCCGGAGGGCATGGCGCCCCAGAATCTGTAGTCTGTGGTAAAGGGGGCATAATGTGACATATTTATACATAATTTCACTCCAGCTCCCGGAGGTACATGATGGGCCATCTGAGGGAAACGCCTTGCTCTTGGCAACTTCAAAAAAAAGTATTTAATGTGTGAGTTGTGGAGAATGGCTGGAAACGAGATTCGTAAAAAAAGATGAAATTCATTTTTTACGAAGAGATGATATAAGTCTTGAAGTACTGGAGCACTGTTAGATGAAATGGTGGTGCTTTGTTGTAGTTGGAATTATCAGCAGAAAGAGCCATGACAAAGATTTAAGAAATACTTGACCATGAGGTAACACTTCAGAGCATAGCAGTTATGGATAACAGATGAGTATATGTATATTTGTCAATATTCAAAAAGATTCGGAAAAGGAAACTGAATGGTATGAAATGATGCTCGTTAAGTTTTCAAAACTTTACTTAATCACTGATTAAAACAAGAGAAATATAAAAAATGTAACGATTTTCAAATAGTATAACTATATATAGAGGTAGCTTTTTCATGAAGAAACAACATGTTCAGGATAACCCTCTGGAAGAGATATCTCAGGATAACTCTCTGAAAGAGACATCTTAAGTTGACAAGATGCTCAGCTTGAGAAAGCAGTTTTCGTGGAGGATGAATTGTAGAATTTAACAAGTCAGCGAGGATGATATTGTGAATCTGGAAGTAACGTTTGTTATATTTAATACGAAACTTCTGAAGGTGATGAAGATTGTTGAAAATGTGATTCGGTCATACAACTGAATTACACTGGGTAACTCGATTTTTAAAGCCAGATGAAGAGCATGTTATTCTACGACTATAACTCTTTCGTGAAAAAAAAGAAAAGTCAGATATCCATGAAGTATGACCATAGATAGTGCAAGGAGGAATGAAGGCCTTATAATAATAGAGGAGAAAAGAGGGACTGAAACCTCAATTGGTTCCAGTCAGACACAGCATAAGGCTGAGTCGTTGTGTGACCTTGAAATTTAGTTTTGCAAGGTGAACTTTTCATATCAGATGCTTATCAAAGGTGACACTCAAATATGTAACTGTGCTAGATAGTTGGTCTGTTTGAACATTAACGAGATTAGTATTTTGGCAAGGTCGATATTTAATTTTGCTTGAACCAAATAGAATAGCTTTCTAGTCAACAGTTTTAGTCATTTCATTACAATCCCAGGGACATGCGGGACAAAGGTCACGCCCTTTCTTCGACCATTAGACGGATAAGAACCGAATAATGATGTAAGTGATTTGTAAAAAATGCTGAAGAAGATGATACGGTTGTGAACGATGTAAAAGCTTAGTGTAGGCAAGGATATGTCATTGATGAAGAGTGGGAAGTGGAATAAATAGTCCAAAAACAATGAGTGACGTGAAAGGTCAGGGAGTCAATTCATTATCCCTGTGGATAAATGTAACTAGTTATATTCAATGGAAGAGAATCATTATGATCTTAATCATCATGGAGAAGCGAGATAACACAGAGATCCACTGGGGGTAACAGTTTGTGAGGAGACCGGATGGGCATCGAGAGAATATCGGCAATATGACATTTTGATTGAAAATACATCGTTGAACATGTCAGATGCGAAGGTATAAGAGATGGATGAGAATCGGCGGGAAAGTGATGCGTACATATAGTTATTGTTTAGGACTAGATAGATTGATATAAAAAACGAGTCTAAGACCATGAAGTTCCAGGTCTTGTACTGATGATAAAAGTCGGTGGGAGTAGAAAGCCAAGCAGTGTGACAGATTCGAATGGTGGTCTAATAAGCATATAATAAACGAGGTGAATGTAATCCCCAGGAGGTTCCTGTGAGCTGACGGATAAGATACAGGTGGAAGGTGTCTTTGTGGTTGAGATCCGTCATCTGAGTCTTCTATGTAAGATGTTAGCCGAAAAGAAAACCAAACTATTTTACTATATCCGAGACAAAATTATGGCGATGGCGATATTTATAGCGTGTAGGATCGGTCGTACGGCTCTGGTCTCGGAGGAATTAATGGCACAGTAAGATTCACTTTCTTTCATAACACTTTTTTGATTTGCCAAGACTCCCTTGCTTTATCAAGATTCTCGTGATTTACCAAGACTTCATCTCGTTACTAAGACTCTTGCTTACCGAAATTCTCTTGTTTCACTGAGACCTCTTGATTCACCAAACTTCTTAGTTGATTGAAACTCTCTTGACCCACTGAGATTCTCTTGTTTCCCTAAGGTTTCCCTAGCTCCACCGAGGCTATCTTGATACACCAAGACTCCCTTAATTCACTCAGGCTTTTCGTATTTATTTTGTTAGTATTCACCACGACCATCTTGAGACAGTAGAGCCTCTTAAAGTACCAACGCTCTCTTAATTCACTAGTCTCTCTTGTTGCACCAAGACTCACCTGATTTACTGAGCTTCTGTTGTTGCATCAAGACTCACGATGTTTTCAAATTTGTGACGGATTTATTATTATATATATCTATTTTAATATCGATGTTTGTTTATATTAAATTTATATTTAGAAATGTACATAACTTGTACTGTTAAATATGTAAAGTTGTAGAAGATTCTCGGGTGTAAGAATCAACAATATATGTGTTACGTGAACGCTAGTGTTAGCATCAGTATTAGATATTGGTTTTTAGTTATATGCAATCTTGTATCAAAGGTTGAAAAATTCCAGAGACAAGTGAATCGGGTATAATGAATGTCACTGATTCTATTTGGTATTTTTTTGTTGTTGTTTTTTTTAGCTACTTGCTACTGTTAAATCTTATAAGTTGGAGAAGTCGCATATTTGTTCGTATCACTGATTATACTTTGTTCACCAGTATCAACCAGGAAATAAATTGCAATAATTACATTCCTTCTCTATAATTTCACGGTAATTTCACAAAATACAGTGGTTGTACAATTTGAGTACAGCGGATTTTTTTGTTTGTCCGACTGGCCGGGCGATGACCTGACCAGCCAGAATGCAAGTTAAAATTGATTCAACCATAAATACTTGATGGTTTTTAACACACTAAAGCTTCCTATGTAAGATATATCTATGAAAACTTACGCACGATTTGAAATAATTTTACGTGTTAAGTTTTTTATTCATACGAATTTAATATCAGAGCTTGCTCATATTCTTCCGTATATTCGAACTGAGCGTTTTTAGAACCAGTTTTAACAATTTTCAACCTTTCACGGGTGGCTGATAAGAAGAAAAAGAACGTGAGAGCTCGGTCTATTTTAAAATGACCACTTACTTTTACTATTTCAAGATTGTTAAATGTTTTATTTAGTTAATAATTTTCCTTCAGTACAATAACATTTGTCTGAAAGAAAGATTTTATCTTAAAATTACACAATAATGTACAAGTTACACACCTTCAGTGTAGGGCACCTCTAAAACGTACTGTACATACACACAGGGAACGAGATGAATTGAACAATAGTCCGCGAGATGGAGCACTTGAATAACTCCCCCACTCGGACTTGGACTCTTCCTGTATTGGATACGCTTTTGGCGTCTGCTGTCAAAAGGCAATGTTTCACGTAAGGCCACTCTCCGCTCAAGCACTTGGCGTTCTGCGATGAATGCTGGGTTCCAGCATATGTTCTGAGTGGTTATATCACAGCAAAATAATCTGGATGATGGACGGTTGTGGTCAGAGCTAAGAAATGTCCGAGATGTCTTAAGGGTAGAAACTGAAGAACTACTTAGGTAAGTTCATAGAATATACACTAACGCAGCGCGTAGTGCAGTAAAAGGGCTGCAAGGTGACTCATCCACTGGTTAACATCCATGTTTTGTCGTCTGTGTGTCATACATAACACAGGGTTTATAACATTTTTGTTTTTTATAGCTTTACTTGTTTGTTTTGTTATGGGAAAGTGATAAATTACAATAAGAGAGAAAGGGAAATAATTAACTAAATGTTTAAGTGTTTTTATTTTTATAAACATAGTGTTTCAAAATTCCTATACTTCATTGAACTAAGATTATTTACAGATGTTTTATATTACAGCGAATTTTTACAAACAATAATTTAGTTTTCGATAATTGATACTTTATTGGAATTAATTAACTTCAAGCATATATCTGAAATCATTCATTCCTATTTTACTGTAGACATTGTATTTTACCATTTATCATGATAATTCAATCATATTGAAAAGAAACGCTTTTGAACACAATTTAAAGCTTATAATGTTTTTTTCAATAAGTTTTTATCATAATGAAGCCAGAAGAATAAAAAGAGTGAAACAAGCTGTTGTTAAACATGTATCATTGTTTCCACCATTAACATGCAAATTAATACGTTAGTATTCTTTATATGCAGTTTTTTAAAGTATATGATGTGTCGTATGTAAGCTCCAATTCAGAGTGCAGATAAATTTCACCCGAGTGTGCAGTGTTAAACACCCGAACTTTACATGTCTATACAGTAGGGATGCACGGGGACCCGGCCAGATATTCGGCTCCAGCCGAGTGTCGAAGTTAGGCATCTAAGCCCTAATCTTTGTGGCAACTAACGCGATACTGAAAGTTTCAGTCAAGAATTGGTTTAGTTAAAAAAAACTGACCGCCCGCTGAAAGTCGGGGATTCAGAGAACAATAAGGGTTAATAACAAGCATGGCTTGAGAAGTGGATTTCCGGGGAAGGTGAGAATTTTGAGAACAATAGGGGATTTGAGAAGTTGGGGCTAGGCATTGAAAGTTGAATTAAAACTTCAATGTTTAGTTGGTGATTATTCGGTTAAATGTAATAAACGTCAATTTTGTTTTTGTTTCTAATTTTTGTGTATGTTGTTTGTTTGTTGTTTTTTTGGAGGGCAAGGGGAGAACCCGGACCAGGTATTCGGCCAAATTTTACTACCTGTGCATCTCTACTACACAGCATTAAGCACACGAACTTGACATGTTTATACAGTATTAAACACACGAACTTTACATGTATACACAGTATTAAGTACACAAACTTTACATGGGTGTGCACTGTTAAACACACGAACTTTACATGTGTGTGTGCAACATTAAACAGATAAACATTATCCGTGCATACAGTACTTAACTGATATGTTTGTATACAGTGTTAAAAAATTAAACTCACCCCGTGGGTGCAGTGTTCAACAAGTAAACCTTATCTGTGTGAAGTGAGGTGTTCCTGTTTTAAGCACTGTTAAACACATAAGCTACACAGTGTTAACCAAATGAACTCTGTTTAAGTGTGAACAGTCCAAACCATACGTTAGTGGGAAATAACTTGAATACTTTTAATGCTACGTAGAAACATTTTATGTCCAAGTCAGCTAGTTCTTAAGGAAAGTATACTGTGTGTCCAAGCCAACTAGTTCTTAGGGAGAGTATCCTGTGTCCGAGCCAGCTAGTTCTTAGGGAGAGTATCCTGTGTCCAGGCCAGCTAGTTCTTAGGGAGAGTATCCTGTGTCCGAGCCAGCTAGTTCTTAGGGAGAGTATCCTGTGTCCGAGCCAGCTGGTTCTTAGGGAGAATATCCTGTGCTACACAGGCGAACAGCTCGGTTTCCTCACCATACAACAGTAGATGCAGTATTTCTCCGTTGTATATCGTATATCACGTTCATACCATTGTTATCAATAGAGGCAGAATTGGATATACCTAAAGTTTGTACCGATGTTTTCTCTATGCTGTATATCGTATGTCATGTTCATACTATAGTATGTGTTATGCATAACACATTTACTGATGTTGTCTCCGTGCTATGTATTTTGTTCATATTATTGTTATCCTTTTAACTTCAGCTAGAGTGTATAGGATACTAACTACATATATATATAGACACCACTACTGCTGTTGTCGTGATGAATTGTTTAAGAGACTTCTGGTATCTAACGAACGAACTTAACGTCTTCATTTTTTTTGATTTTATGTAATATGTAGATACTGAATGATAATATTGTATCATCTTAGTTTTGTAACAAACTAATATCTCGCTTCTTGAACATTTTATATGTATCACATTTTTACTGCAAATAATGTCTGTTATGTAACAAATGTGTTCATATTTTACCTGTTAACATATTATTTACCTCCTAGTATCTTTGTGGTCTAACATATTATATGTTCGGTTTATTCATCTTCTATCTTTTTATCTGATGCCTAATCTGGCCAACGTGTTTATATAATAAGACTGCGTGCGTGCTTGTGTTTTATTCTCTTATTATTTGGGAGTGTCCGACTTGAGCTTCAAGAGGACAACACTCCCTTTATTTCTATTTTTCGTATAGTTTCCTTCCAAATGTTTTTGTTAAAGACTAAAGCTAGTTAACTTCTGTGTATGAGGTGTATCCCGCAGCTCTTACTGTCCATGTTTGCTCACGATGCGTAGTCATAGTTAGTGGGGTGTGTTTTACCTTCTAAGGCAATGTTGTTAACACAGAAAATATATTTTATATCAAAAAATTTATATGACAAGTATTGTATTCTTATTCAGGTATAGATTATATGAAGTGTACAGAAAGAAACAAATGAATAAACTCATTGGATTAGTTGGTGTTTACGAATAGAAATGATTCTTTGTTGTTTTAAGGTTCTGGTTTCTTTATATTTCTTGACAGCAAAATTTAATGCTCAAGAAAACTTTCAAAAAACGTAAAAAAAATTAAATATTTTAAAGTACCACTCCGCAAAACTGTTAAATCAATATTGTCACACAGCACGACAAAACTGTCAAATCAATATCGTCACACAGCACGGTAAAACTGTTAAAACAATATTGTCACACAGCACCATAAAACTGTTAAAACAATATTGTCACACAGCACGATAAAATTGTTAAAACAATATTGTCACACAGCACGATAAACTGTCAAAACAAATTTGTCAAGTGGCACGATAAAATTGTTAAAACAATGTTGTCATACAGCACGATAAACTGTCAAAACAGTATTGTCACACAGCACGATAATACTGTTAAAACAATATTGTCACACAGCACGATAAAACTGTTAAAACAATATTGTCACACAACACGATAAAATTGTTAAAACAATATTGTCACACAGCACGATAAACTGTCAAAACAAATTTGTCAAGTGGCACGATAAAATTGTTAAAACAATATTGAGAATGCAATAGCTAAGTTCGATTAATTTGCTTCGTTTGTGCATTTACATACAAGGTTACTGATGCTAATCTGTATTTGCATTTGTTTGCCCTGTTGCTATAGTTTCGTGCAGCGATTAGCAGCCTTGGTCTCGACTTTATATAAAAAACACAATCCCTTCTTATTTAAACTGGGAACTTGGTGTAAAAAAGATAATAATAATTAAATAATGTAAAATATGTTAAATAACTAAATAACGTGTATATATAAAAGTAGCACGAGGTTGCAAAGAGCTAAGTGTCTGCCCGTGGTCATTGGTTCGAAATTAGGGACGGTGCTACACTACCTGTACTGCGCACAGAGAAACGTGCTGCAACAAGACTTCATAAAGTGTAGGAAAGAGAGCCTGTGCTTTGGTCGGTGCTATAACCTTCTATAGCGTCTAAACATAACCGCAAGTCACTCAATACTGCTAAAATTGTTAAGGCAATATTGTTACTTAGCATTAGGTAAAATTAGTAAGGCCTGGCAATGGTCTGTTGGCTAGAACGTTTGAATCGCAATGTGCGAGTCGCAAGTTCGAATTTTATAACAGATTCGCCTTTCGGTCGTTGTGGCGTGTTATAATGTAATGGTCAATCTTATTATTTCATCAAAATTAGGGACGGTTGGCGCAGAGAGCCCTCTTGTAGCTTTTTGCGACTTTCAACAAAGAATCAAAGATGTAAAATTACTAAAACAATATTTTTGCTCACCACTAGATATAATTGTGAAAACAATATTGTCACTCATTGCTCGGTAACATTGTTGAAACAATATCGGATGATTTTGGTTTGAAACTCACAGAATGATAATAAAGGGTTTTGACTAAAAACAAAGAAAACGTGATCAACATTCATGAATGCTGTGTATTTTATCTTTTACTGTCATTCTTCTTCTTAAACATTGTTTATTTTATCTTTTACCGTCGTTCTTCTTCTTAAACATTGTTTATTTTATCTTTTACCGTCATTCTTCTTCTTAAACATTCTTTAGTTTATCTTTTACTGTCATTCTTCGTCTTAAACATAGCTGCATAGTCCAAAATAGTAAATGGTTTTAGTATTGCCTAAACCAGCGGCAAGTATAACTAATGTAATATTCTCTAAATTTACAATAGAAATTAAAAACGGCCTGGTGGTTAGGGCACTCGACTTGTACTCTGAAGGTCGCACATTCGATATCCCGTCTCCAAACATTTTCACTCTTTCAGCCGTGGGCGCGTTATAATATGATGGTCAATCCAACTATTTGTTGGCAAAATAGTATTCTAAGAGTTGGCGATAGGTGGTATTAACTAGCTACCTTCCCTCTAGCGTGGCGGCTAGCAAGATAGCCTTCCTGTAGCTTTGCGCGAAATTCAAAATAGAAAAAAAGTAAAAACCTTCAAAGGGTCAATTTTGGACAACGTTTACTTCCTGAAATGTGACATTTTAAGCACGTTTGGACGATGATCTAAATATAAGTCCACTTTATAATCTATTAAAGGCAGTTTTTCATCACAATATTTCGCAATAGAATATGTATCGTTAGGTGGAGATAGCCATATCTGAGCGCAGGTTTTTGTATTATTTCGACAGTATCTTTAAATCAAAATTT